CCATTATAAGACAAATCCAAGAGATGTGTCAGGAGAAAATCAAAGATTTATATGTCAATTTGTGGACTTGGCAATGGTATTTGACACTAAGCAGATCTTTGAATAATATGAATGAAGCTTTGTTTCCCAGCTAAATTCTTCAGTATGCTTACAGGAAAAGCAGCTCGGCTAAATTAGAATCGGTGGAGACCTCTCAAGACCTTTCCCATTGCAAATGACATAAAACTTCATTGATTTCTCGCTCCTACACAGCTCTCAATCTTCTTCGGGGCGAGGTTGAAACTGACCTCAAGGAAATGTGTGACGAAAACTTGTACATACGTTCATTTCAATTTGCGAACTGCTCAACCTAAAACAAGTTGATATTACCGTTATTAAAGGAAATAGGGCTTACAATAAAGCGATTCTAGTCAATCCGAAAAGTATTAAAGTTCTTTCTATCTGAATTTCTGGGATGAGGAGTTATCATTATTTACACTATTTATATATGAACTATTGTCTTCATAGTTGTTGTTGTTATCACAACGTTTCGACCGTTGTTCCCTCCGGCCTTCCTCAGGTGTATACCGATCTGCATAACCTACAGGGGAATTTGAACTAAAACATGTCAGCAGCAGCTGTTAAAACATGACAGAGAGTCGCAGTAGAAGCAATTGCTGCCTAATCAGCAGCCAGGTTAGGTTTAAAGGTCTAAGTTCACTGCATCAAAATTTCCACGGGACAATGGCATATTGGATATAAGCGTTGTTTTGTGAATATGGTGATATTAATGGTTTTGTGTTCAATCCCTGTCGAGCAGGCGGTACTTGAACTCAGTGGAAAGGGTCGAGCAATAGTACTAAATAAAAATAAGAATTAGACGATTTCCTTAGACATGAGCAGTGGAACGAGAATAGGGAAAAACGACCAAAACGTTGTGATAACGACAAAAAGATGTGGACAATATTTCGAATATAGCGTATATAATAATTTCTCACCGCTAAAATTTAGTCAGAAAAAGAGAAGCATCATTGAGAAAAATAACGCTATGCCCTTAAATTTAAATTTAAGGAAATTCTGAAATATTCCAAAACCTCTCGACGTTATATAAGAAAAAAAAACTATTGAGAACGCTAAGTGAAGTCATTTTGATGTATTTAATTTTATGTTGTTGCTTTATCGTCATTGCAGTTAAAACAATACAATACTTTAAACCTTTATCGTTTTCATGGTTGTACATAAATATTTTGGCTACAGAAAGGAGAATTTCTTTTAAGAAAGGAAATATTTTGAAAAATAATAGGGCGTATATTTATGTTTGGGATGGTAACTATTAATGCACTTTCGGTAAGTGCTTGCCATAAGTTATTTTCTCTCTTAATAAGGACACGATTTTCAGTTCAAACTTTGGTTGAAATTATTTCTGCGTATTACTAATGGATTGGGCAAATTATGACGTTGGAGATGTTTTTAGTGATTATAAGTCTTTCGGCTTTCATTATTACACACTGTTAACTGTTGTTGTTTTTTGTATCTCTCGCCTTCTTTTCAGGACTGTAATATGTTAGACAAAATATAAAAATTTCTCACTCTCGCTTTCCATTCATCTTCGAACATTTTTGTGTTTGGCGATTTTAATGTTCATCATGTTAAGTGGCTTAATCATTCCAATCTTACCGATTTTACCAATATTCAGACTTCCAATTTTTCAGTTGCTCAATCAAATAATAGATTTCTCCACTCATTTCCATAATAATTGTGATCTTCATACCCTCTTCACTCGATTTGTTACTTACTTTCTCTCCTGACTGTTTTTCGGCATTGCAACGCAGTCCCTTTGGCAACTGGGATTTCATTGTAGTTTCTGTTGATGCTTAATTTGACTAGTCTATTAGGTACGAAAACCCTATTCACAAAACGTATTTCTGTTACCATCGTACAGACTGGTATTCATTTCGCGATTTTCTTCACGATGCCTTTTGGATGGAACCTTTTTATCTTTTTTTTGATAATTGTTTTTCTGGAGTTTCTTCTTGGGTGAAAGCCAGTATCGAAGCTTTTGTACCGTCTCTAAATATCCTATAAAACTGCAATGTTCTTAGTTTACACTGGCCTATTCAGTTTCTATAGTCCAGATAAATCGGGTTACACGAACTTAATAGCTCTAATCACAACTGACATCTCTTTGATTCCATTCATAATTGCAACCGTGTCTTCAACGAAACTAAGTCGTTGTTCGCTGATATAACGAGACACTGTATAGCCCTTCCACATTTAGTTCTTGTGACTACTGGTGTTTCTGTAACAGTGTGTGAAACAGGGGCAACTCCCTCTTCTCTTCGGTCAGTTTGAAGTTATAATATTCTTTTGACAGAGCAGAATGCTTTGCTCGTCATTTCCCTTCCTATTCTAATTTCGACTCATCAGAAGCAACTTTATCTGACTGATTTAGAACTGACGCTCTACTGTGTGATATGCATATAACTCCGTTCATAGTTACTTCTATCATATCCAAATTTAATCCCCATAAAGCATGTTGTCTCAGTAATATCCATGAAATTGTCCTTCAAAAGTGTGCTCTTCAGCTGGTCCCTGTTTACTCTAAAGGCAAAAATAAACACCGTGCTGTTTCTTGCTTTTCAACTTGTTGGAAATCCTCTTCTGTTGTTTATGTTTTTAAGAACTATGGCGTATGCTCTGACCCTTGGAATTATCGACCTATTAGTCATCTACTTCCTTTTGGCAAAGTACCAGATGCTGTAATTAAATGCGAATTGGTTAAGCATCTCACTTCACTGGGTCTTCTTCCACACAAACAATGTGTTGACGGTTATGACTGAAAGAATTTCTCAAGCTGATTTTTCATTTGATACAATTTTTCTTATGAAATCGCATAATAAATGTATTGAACGTCCATACTTCTAGATCTTTTTGCATTAATGGGGGAGTCCCCCAGGATCTTTGGTTCGAGTTTACAGTATTCCTTACTTCAATCCTTCCCGGTGTCATCAGTTCCCGATTCGATATCTATACTGATGACGAAAGTAATTACTTCTGTCTTAAAGGTAAAGTCAAATTGGCAGCTGATCTCGAAAATAACCTTTCAACCTGTTGTTAACTGAGGAAAGAAATGGCTTCATAATTCTAACCCCTCTCAAATAAAACTGCTCTCTTTGAATCATCGTAGAGAATTTTTTTTTGTCTTCTAACAGTATAACTTCCAGGAGAACAACACATTGCACCTCTTATGTCTAACGTTTTCCAATGACGTGAAGTGTAACTATTCTATTGAATCAATTGCTAAGAATGCTGAGAGGAAAGTTGGTTCGCTTTCTCTTTCTAGACAATCTTTCTCGACAGAATCGATCTTACATATTTATAAATCTACTATTCGTCCGAGCATTCAATAATACTATCACATTTGCTTTGGTGCTACTGCCATATATCTCAGTATTCTTAACAAAATCTAAAGAAGAGTCTACAATGATATTGGTCCTGACCTGACATCTCTGCTTCAATCTCTTTCTCACAGCCATGTGCCTTTTTTTATATTATCATTGTATTAGTTCGGATGAGTTTTTTTCTTTGCTACCTTGAGTTCACATATTTAAGTGTAGTACTATATTTACAGATAGGTCTCATAATTTTATTAATGAAATTACTAGATGCAATCTTAAGTTATATTCTAATTGTTTATTCTCGCCTGTGGAACACTCACCCGTCTTCTTGCTTTCCTGCAAACCACGATATTCAAAGATTTAAATGCAACTTCAGTTGTCATCATCTTGTTCCTTAACTCCCGTTCTTTTCGTTTAGTGATTTAAAAAGAGGAAGTTCTTTTAGATTTCTGGATGTTTCACCAATATATTTTAAGGAACAACAGTTACAGTTGATTTTATATGTGCTCGTTTGAGAAATTATTTTTTGTCCGGTTAATTTTGGTCCTGTTATTGCATAATAGTTTTGTATGTAGTTGTAATTAATTTAATATTAAGAATGGAATAGTAGATGTTATTGAGTTGTTTATATATATTTTGCCTTTGATAAATTACCTGAATTACCGACATGCGTTGTATAAACAAATTTTACTTTTTCATCTCTTTTTGTTAATATTATATATTCATTTTATTGTACACACACACACACACACACACACACACACACACACACACACACACACACACACACACACACATATATATATATATATATATATATATATATATATATATGTATAGATAGACAGAGGATCACAACAATGTAATTTTACACAACCAGAGAATGAATACATATTCAAAAAACGTTTATATATATTTTAGTTATAAAAATCAGTAAGTTATATATATATATATATGTGTGTGTGTACGTGAGTATGTATATGTATATATAAATCTCCCTCTCTCTTTTTCTCTCTCTTTATATATATATATATATATATATATATATATATATATATATATATATATAACCTTACAAACGCACAAATCGTTAATGAAATTAGAACTGAATATTTAGGATTGTTTCTTCCTAAAGTAATTTGTTTTATTATGGAAAAAAGGTGTGGAGAAGACTTAAACACTTTTGTTCTTTTAAAGAATAAAAGGAAAAGTTAAAAATGAACAAAACTTTTGATGAAAAAATAAAATAAAATGGAAAGTATTTAAAAAGAAAACATGAAACAAGAACAAAAATTATTTGAAGAAAACATTCAAAATATGTACAAACGATAATGAGTCTCGAAGTAGGTAAATCTTTCTTTCTTTTTTTTTCCCCTTTATGAAGACAACAGAAATTACCAGAGAATTGGGTTGTTGTTAGTGGTTGGGAACGTCGGCCAAGAGAGTAAGATCCCTACCCCACTACAAAAGAGAAGAATCACATTTATTGCTGTTAAAGAGAGATAAGAACCTCAGATTTGGCACATTTTCCAGTGAAATGAGAGAAAAAAAATTGAAGAAAAAAAAATGTTTAAAAAAGAACCGACCTAAACAAAATTGTGAACGGTTTTTTGAGATAAGTAGTCATTCATGAAATGGTTTTATCGTGTCTATGAATAAAATTATGCTAAAAAAATGGATAGATTGAAAGAATTTTCTAAAAAAATGGATGCACTGAGTTAGGGAAGGATAAAGTATTAGATAATAGTAGTAAATTTGATATGAACCGACAGAGACGGAAAACGAACGAAATAGATAGATAGATAGATAGATAGATAGATAGATAGATAGATAGATAGGGAGAGAGGGAGAGATATATGTTAATATAGATAAGAAAAAGAAATAAACAGACTGAGATAGACATGAACCAGATAGATAGATAGATAAATAGAAAGATAGATAACGAGAGAGGTACTGATGGATAGAAAGAGATAAATATACATAGAGAGACAAAAATATAGCGGTTGAGATAGGTATGAACAAGCATAGATAGATAGATAGATAGATAGATAGATAGATAGATAGATATGAACAGACGGAAATAGATATGAACATACTGATATATATATATATATATATATATATATATATATATATATATATATATAGAGAGAGAGAGAGAGAGAGAGAGGGAGAGAGAGAGAAAGAAACAAAAGAGATAGATAGATAGATAGATAGATAGATAGATAGATAGATAGATAGATAGATACGAACAGATTGACATATATAACAGACATAGAAATAGAGAGGCTGAGATAGATATGAACCAGATAGATAGATAGATAGACAGATAGATAGAAAGAAAGAAAGAAAGACAGTGAAAGAAAGAAAGAAAGAAAGAAAGACAGTGAAAGAAAGAAAGAAGAAAATATGTTGCAGTTTGTTTTGGATGTAAAAATGAACGATTTATTAATTCGTATAAAATCTAGTGCAGATGTAAATCGTTTTGTGCAAATGTCGATATGGTTGGGTTGGGTTGACTTGAACATAAACGTGGCTCTATCATGGATTTGAACACTCATGTCGGCTTCCATATTTCACCTCGTTATGTTCATAATGCTGACATCAAACCGAGATAAAGTCTCGTGAAAACACATACAGAGAGAGAGAGAGAGAGAGAGGGAGAGAAGGAGAGGGGGAGAGAAAAAGAAAGATAGAAAGAGAGAGAGAGAAGAATTCACACACACTTTTTCTTTGATATGTCCGTGTGTGTTTGTGTGTTTGCGCAAATGCTGCAGATAATGAGTACAAAGTTTGATTAATAAAATGATAAATGTATCCTCGCCAAGTTATGAGTAAAGCCAGTTAGTTTTCCTTCAACTCCGGCCGTTGTTGATATTAGAACTTCGCTTGACTGAAATCGATCGGCTTTCAGCGTCCATGGCACGATGACCTGCTGAGAAAATATATTGGGACATAAGCCTTCCTCCGTCAACTTCCCATCCTTTCACACCAAACACCTTTTGCCGCAAGAATGCAACTAAAAATATGGCGACCACTGTTATTTTTAATGGAGTAGAAAACAGTAGTAAAAGAAATGTGATTCAAAAAGGAAATTTATTCTTATTTACTTTTAAAATAATAATCATTGTTTTCATAATTAGCCTCATCTTAATTATTAATATCTATCTATCTATCTATCTATCTATCTATCTATCTATCTATCTATATCTGTCTGTCTGTCTGATCTAATCATATCTAACGCAATTTAATTTTGAAGAAGCCTGCTCAGATTCGTCGGAGACTATTATCCTTTAGAAAGTTATCAAATGACTTTATCTTATGTCCATTCCAGTTACGGGTTCGGTCCCTATCGTTTGCTGTGCAATTGTGGATTTCCACCAAACTAACCTGAAGATCCATCTTTTTTTAAAAATTCATTAAATTCATGAAATTGTGTGCATACTAAATTAAACTGTACAACGTTTAACTTAATAAGGCTAGAAAAGGAACTGAAAAAGCAGAAAGATTCTGCAAAATGTGTAGCTTCTATCATCAAGGAACAGGACATGAATTAAAATATTCTTTCTGATTTCAATAATTCTAACGTTTGCATAATTTCAATATTTTCCGATTGTTCTAGACTTTTTTCGCTAAAGCTATCGGGATCTTTGCAAACGATTCAATATTTATACGTCTCAGCATTAACATATTCTTCACTTTTTAAACGTTCTTTGCTTTTTTTAGTAATAATGTTAGCATTTTTCTTATTAATGCATGCAAAATTTATTCAGCAGTTAGCAAAAGCCGAATTCTGGGTTTGGGCGCCTACTTTCCTTGTTCGGTTTTGCTTCTGCATTAATTCAATGTCTATTTACTTTTTCTTTAGTGACAGGAAGGAATGTCTTTACTCAAACATTGTTTGTATACAATTGGGCTCACATTGAAGAGGTTGGCGATTTGCGAACTGAATTATGTCAAGGAAATGGCTAACTATTTGAGGAAATACTCACCTTTTAATATATAATTCTAAACGTTTTAACACCATAAATCATGCAAGAATTCTATATAGCAGAAAAACAACGAGACCATTTAATCAGCATCAAGAGGTAAATGGAAAGGAACAATTAGGAACGTTAGAAACTTGGAGAGAATCGCTGTCACGTGATACTTCGTGATGGCTACTCAGTCAACTGGGTGTAACGACTACTACAACAACAACAACAACTACTACTACTACTACTATTACTACTACTACTACTACTACTAATAATAATAATAATAATAAGAAGAAGAAGAAGAAGAAAATCGCAATGAATAGTGATGGTAAGAAGAAGGTTACAAAATACATTCTAATATAAATTTTAAAAAATGTATAGTAAAATTAGCACAAGTGCGCATAACGTTTAAAATCCTGCTGCCTAACACTCTCACACTCTCCACACAAACGCACGCGGACACAGGCACACACATACACATACATATATATATATATATATATATATATATATATATATATATATATATATATATATATATATATATAACTAAATTGAATAGAGTTCTCTAAATTGAATAGAGTTCTCGAGCCGCTGAGGTATAGAGAAAACGTTAAAACATCCTTTCTATCTTACCTAGAGGTAAGATATCTAACCGATGTCAAATCAGTCGGGTTTCGATCTCGGCTTGAAGCAATTGGATGTCTGGCCATACTGAGGAGGTATGGATGACTATATTTATATATATGTTTATGTATAGTCATCCACAGCTCTTCAGTATATATATATATATATATATATATATATATATATATATATATATATATATATATATATATACACACACACACATAAACATATAGTCATCCACAACTCAGTATGGAGTATGGATGGCTAGACGTCCAATTGCATATATATATGAGATCGAATATGTATATATATATGTATGTATGGGAACAAAGTCAAAGAAAACTTATCTTAGTCGATGCGTTTTGTCCTCTGAGCGACTTTATCAAAACAAATGCAAGAATTTTATTTTGTATCAGGTATTTATAGATAGGAGCAAAAATGTACTTTTTTCAGCGCTAAGAATCATAACTTAATGACTAATAAACGAAAGATGTCCTTGAAATGTTTATCTTAAATTATTTTAGTTTGAGATTAATTTATATGTTATATATTTTAAATAACATGGTTATGAATTTAACTTTTTTCTTTTAATTTTTCAACATTTTTATAGCCGTGTATATTGGCTTCGGAAAATAGTAATTCTTTTCAGGAAAGGAGATATCTGAAAAATTCAGGGCACAAATTTATGTTTTGATAAGATTTCGTAGTGACACTCACCAGAATTTTCCGTCTAATTATGTAACTTTTTCTTTTAATAAGTATGGCATTCTTTAGATAAGTCTGTGCAAAAGTTCATAGCATTTTTCATTTTTAAATATTCAGTTTTCTCCTGTGTCTTCAGTGTATGGTTTTTAAAAGAAAGGAAAAATGAAAACCTTGGCACTCACCTAATATATATGTACGCAATTCACATATCTTAGTTTCTGTTTTCATAACTATCTATATCAGTATGTCAATATTTATCTTAGTCTACTATCAATTTAGTTTATCTATCTATCTATCTATCTATCTATCTATCTATCTATCTATCTATCTAGGCCTGTCTGTTTGACTACGTCAGTTTGCATTTATATATCCCAGTCTCTTCTTCTTTCTTTATCTCTTCCTTCGCCAATGCGTCTGAAGCCCATCAGCAAGGTGTCATGCACCACTCCCTGCTCCGTTCGCCTTTTTTTTTTTCTCCCTCTCTTCCGTCTTGCCTTCTCCCTCCGGCCCACTGGCGAAGCCTTAACGTTTTCCACTCGCCACTCGTCCTTTCCTTTATCTGGATCAAGTCTGGGGCACTGTGACATGGACGCGTTTCATATATAACATTAAGTTTGGCTAATAATATCCTTCATATCAGGGTTCGGAATATTCATACGCAATGGAAACAGGCAAACGAATACACGCAGGGAATTCACTCGTATTTGTACCTTCACTGAAATACGGAGAATGTAAACTCGCTGAATATGGAAATATCAACAAGTCTATTCATAATTCATAAGCTTCTTTTAGACGAGGTAAATTTATGTAACGAGATGTTGCTGTTAGTATACAGTATCTCAAAGACTTTGATACGCTTCTTGTTTCTTTTTAACACAATTAACTTCTCAGGCTTTCGTCTTTAGTAACCTTGAGATAATATTGGAAAATCATATCTATCCTCAAGGCAGTTATTAGTTTCTATCATTTGGTTTTTGTTCGGACTGGCCTCCTTCTAAAGGATATCAAACATATAATGAATAACATATTGGGCTTATGCCGCTAGAACAATTACGACTGAGTAGTGAGTTCGATCCTCACTGGGTGCTCCATACATTTCGCCTTGTGCCACATCTAAAATGCGCTAAGAAAAAAAGGTTACTTCGGCGAGATCAATTACGGCTGAGTAGTGAGTACCATTCGCACTGGGTACCACATCTAAGTTACGTGTAGAAAACCACTCTAGTTAGTAAGAGACTTGTTCTAGAAATTTGATTTCGATCTCTGGGTCCTAATTTGAAGAACTGAAAATAGAAGAATGGTGACAAAAGCAGTCGAGAGTTGTTTAGAAGTACTTCAGGCAAAAATAGAAAAAAAATCTAGACAATTGATTTCTAATCCCTGTGGACGAAATAAAGGGTTCGTTTCTTATTTTCTGGTGGGTTCAGGATAAAACTAGCGTCTGAAAAAATCGAAAGTTACAGATACCGAAATTGACGATGAACGGTAGACCAAAAAAAAAACTATAATAGAAGATTAATCACTAAGTCTATTCCTAATGTGGAAATTAAATGCTCAGAGCATGTCGATTTAATATGTTCAGAATAAATTACCGAAAACAAATATGTTTAGTACATTCTTTAGTTCCACCAGTTCTAATATTCACAGCTATGACCAGTTATGCCACGTAGAATGGGAAGAAACATCACCATCCCTTTCATATTTCATTAGTAAAAAGAAATATCTACTCGGACAGTTTCTTCCTAAGAAATGGAACAGACTCCCAAGAGGATGCTTTCCAGATCACTACAACCATAACATCTTCAAATCTATTGTTAACCGTTATATTTCCTATATATCCTCATAAACTGCAATTCCTAGCTCCTCCTCTCACGCCCATATAACAACTTAATTCAGTAGCCTTCTAACTTGAGTGGCTCTTGGTTCTTGTATTCGGTGAACATTAGTAAAAACAATGTAGTAATTAAATAAGTTGAATATATAATAATTAAGGGAATACTTCATGTCGGTCATGCTGCACACACTGAGTTTTAAATACTAAACTCTTTGAAGTAGTAACTCAGATATCGATATCTGCAATAGGCATTGTGCTTTCAAACATATAAATAATAGAGAGATCAAAAATATATTTATAATTACAATACTGGGTGACACAAAGAGTTCGTTGAGTTTTTTGTCGTTAGATAGCATTAGAAGATTTTAGTTTTGATTAAAGTTATTGAAAAAAATCGATATTGATCTTATTGTGACAGATGTCATAACAACGTGCATTTAAAAGAAAGAATTACTAAAACTAGCAAAACTTTGGTTATTGATTCTATAAAGAGGGAAAAAATTTAAAGATTTTTTTTAATATATTATTCATTTTTCTATTATAAGAATGTGAAAAATATAACTGAAATGCAAAATAATTTATAGAGAAGATTTTTAATCGAACGTTTCTATAGCGGTTTGAAAAGTTTCATACTTGAGATTTATCGATGAATGATGGTTCATTATCATGAAAGGTTGCTAAATATTGGTGAGATCAAGATACGACAACAGAATGATTAACCTTATAAAACATGGAAGGCAGCCAAGATTCATCAAAAATCCAAACTCAGTATTGAAAATTATTTGCACGAGTTTGGTTATATTAAAAAGGATTCGCTCCATTTCAAGGTAACTATACACAAAAAAGCTCCGTTGTAGTTAAAGGAAAAGAATCCAGTACGCTACCAGGTTAGCACAGGGACGCTTTTTGACTGAGCAAACAATGTTACCACTTGGCAAAAGAATTTGCAATTACTATTCATATTCATCTGATATTGTAGCTTCAGATTATCATTTATTGTTGCTTCTTACAGAATTATCTTAAATGACAATATTTTAATTGCCTGGAAGGCAAAGTCAAAACAAAGTAGTTCTTTGCTTAAAATAATAAAACTACCTGGTGGATAAAATTATGAAGTTTACTGAAAGAAAACAGAAGAAAGTAAAATAAAATGATAAATACGAAATACGGTTCATGTCGAAAAGTTAAAAAAAATATGTTTTCATTGAATAAATCGAATGTGTAGAGAAACTCGCCTCACAGACAATTGACATATAGTAATAAAATCTGTATATCTACCTTCTTTATATTGAGAATATAAGCCTGAACAAGGGAAAATCGTGTGGCAAGCATTTTAATAAAATGAGACCGAGCTTTGATTAAGGCATCCAGATAATAAATTGTATGATTTCATCTGATTATGGAGTGTCTGGGGTTTTATAACCAGCAGTAAAACTTAAAAATAAAATTTTTAAAGTAACCACTCGTTATCGAGAAGTAGCAGAATAAAAAGGAGTAAATCAATAAATAAATAAATGAGCAAATATATCAAAACTTTCAAGAAACGTGCCACTTGGCTGGAAGGTCAGATGTTCTAGTCTTTCAGATTCACAGCTAGAATGATCAGTTTCGATCTGCCCGTAGAGGATTGGTAGATGGATATCAATTACGAGTCGATGTTAGGGAATTGTGAGTCGCGCATCGTGAAGTAGAGATGGTGGTAGAAAAAGAGTCGGAATTATCGCTCGCCGTTAATCTCTCCTGAGACAAGATAGATGTCCCTAGTTCCAACTTACCTAGCTCCATACCGTGCCAGGTGAAACCGTGATTAAATAATCAAATATTTTGAAACAAAATTCGTGTTTTCATCTCTTATCCCGCCATTATTTCCTTTCCTTTCCTTGTGTATGTACTCCGTGTCTTTCCCAGATTTTCTTTACACAAACACAATCTGGACTCAAAGCATAACGTGGGATGATTTGTTCAGTCGATAAATATTCATTAGTAAACTTTAAAATGTATTTATTTGTTTTTTGGCATTAAATCTATTGACCAATTATGGAACTAACTAAACCATAACTGCATCAAAGTAGTTGTAGAAAGTAAATGTAAAACTAACTGGCTTAATCACATTTTTTGTAAATTTTTATATCAAGGAAACATACATTTGCCTAAATTCGAACACATATCGACAATACGCAGAAACAATAGCACACATTCATAGCGATAGACTAGCAGGCTTCGTCTGATCGCTATCGCTTCCCAAAGTAAAATATATTTACTACTTGAAATTTTTGAAACAAAAATTTTAAATGAATATTTAATTCATAAATTGGCTTGATATACTTAAGGTAAGTTTTACAAATGGATACCAACTTGTTGAAGGTCAAAAGAAATGCAAATTCCAAACACATTTCTGCACTATATAAAACGATATTAATAAACAGAATTATTTGTGTTATGAAAATCAAAACAATCCTCAAATAAAAGAACAATAACGAAAGACATTTAATTAAAGAAGTAAACTTTTGTTTTTAATCAGTATGCAAATTAATTAAACCTGAAGAGTAATATTGCCTAGAAATAGATAACATATAATACAGCTATTGTTCGTTTAGCGTGTAAATACTATAAAGTAAAAGTGGAACTTTTTAATCACAGAATTCGTGGGAGAATTAAGCTCCAATTTCGTATTTATTCATATAGATTCCATAATATAGGTTTTACTTAATTAGCTATTATGTTTCTCTAACTCTTCAAATGTTGAATGTATAACTAATTCTAATTTCTGTTTTCCCATATTTACACTATATTAATTTTATCTTAAAATTTGTCCCCTGTTCTGTCACCCATGAAATAAAAATAATTGTATGGAAAATAAGGATCTACGTACATCACATCGTCTTTAAATTACTTAATTACAACATAATTATCGTGGAACTTTTAAAAGATAAGCTTAAACATTAGTTCAATACTTAAATGAAGCGATCAATTTTGAGTTCTTCTGTAGTTTATTAATGCATATCCCATTTACTCATCCCTATCTATTTTAAATTTTTAGCTAGCTTTAAATTTTAAACTAGCGTCAATTTTGAATACAAAAGGAAAATAAGAGTTACCCCCCTTGAATGATGAAAGCAACGATAATGGCTAGTATAATATATTAATATATATTTTTAACCGCACATAATCTGGTAAGCCTGAAACAGAGCTCAACGAAAATCGTTCCTTGCGCCTAAATTTTCTAGGGCTTTTGAATGAGATATTAATCATTGAAATCGAACCAGTGGGAGCGGAATAGTTGCTTGGAATCACACCAGCACAAACACACACACATACATTCTACTTTATATATAAGAGAGAGAGAGAGAGAGAGAGAGAGAGAGAGAGAGAACAGTGAGAGTGGGTGGCAGTAGATGCTGTCATTAGAGAATAGACAATAGGAATAAAAGCTGTCACGAGAGAAGAGAAAGAGTGTAATTCTTGGTGGGAGTGAAGAGACTGAAGCATATTCGGAGAGAAAGAATGAGATAGAGGATGAGAAAAGAAAAAGAGGGAGAAATACAAGAACACAATGAGAGGGATCTGTTGATCTAGAGTGCTGAATGTGAAAGATAAAAACAAAGTCAAAAGTTAAATACATACATACATACATACATACATACATACATACATACATATATATATATATATATATATATATATATATATATATATATATATATTAAAACGAAGTAACTCCTAAGGTCGGTCGATATACGCTGTAAAGTTATTAAGGAA